AGATGGGCAAGTGAAGACCTTTTCTCATGTCCCGCTTTTGCCGTCATGCCTCCTTTCAAAAAAGACAAAAGAACTAATGAGAGAGTGAGAGATCAAAACTGTGTTCAAAGAAACTTTCTAATGTTATGTCATCTTTTGTAGAGAAAGATGCTCTTGTGCTCGACCTGATGTTGACGAGACATGCCGGCCCATTCGACAAAGATTGGGGCAACAGAAAATGCTCGTAAAGGGAGCTGGGTCCAACGGTGAGAAGTAACTGAACTCGCAGGACAGAGACTGGACATGAGAGAGAATGGTCTCGAACGAGTCGGTTTGCCGATTATGCTACGTCTGGTGTGAAAAGGAAGATAAGAGAGGCTGTTGCAATGAATGGATTATGGAACGCTGGTAGAAAGTTGAGCCTGAACGGCTTATGCTCGATTGATAGATCGGAAGAGGGAGAGAGAGAGGGTGTTAAGCCGGCATCCAAGAGAAAACGACTCAACTTGTCCAACATGTTGAATAAGAGCTCATCAACCAAACCAGACGTACCAGATTGCACAGCCCCTGTCATGGCTTTCGTTGGTTGGATAAGCCTGAATAACCCTCGACTGAGAGGTTGGGAAAAGTGGCTTCGTAACTTGACTTACACACTTACAAGCTTACAGTTTATCATCTCAACCAGGCTTGCGCAGTCTCGGTCAGGGTTTTCTCTTGGGTCGTCAGGCCTCTTTTATTTATCCAGATTAAGTACCGGTATTGTGTTTAGACGCTAACATACACACATACACACACGCACACAGTCGAGCAAAAGTAGCAAAACCAGTATGAAAGATAATTAGTCAAATCATTCTGTATCTATCTAGGCTTTTTAATTTTCACTTCAAGTCAAAGTGTTGGGGGTGAAGAGATTCGAAGGTGGGTTCCACCAGAAGGCGACGGCCGATTCCTCTTGATCAGCTGTCGATTGGCTCGACTGGAATATTCATGGCGACGCTGTTTCCGAGGCAATCTCCTTCGATTTCGGTGAAAAGAATGAGTTCCAGCTCTGATGATGTCCATCGAAACCGGAAACGAGCGACGAGGTCTCGTGGAATGCGTCGACCGGAAGGTCGTATTCAAACCAAACAGCTGCAGTACAACGTGATTCCGCCGTCGTCTTCTGATGAGCTCGACTTTCGAATCTCGTCAACACGCTGACTTTGATACAAAAATGAAAATCTCCCCAACGCAAATGTTTGCCCGACTGCCCTCCACTTCCGGCAAAGGTCGACTTGTTGAGCCTACTTCCATTTCGTACCAACAATCGGCAGTCGTCCAGATCACCGGGTTTTATTACTACGCCATAATGCGTTTTTTGCCTCAAGCATAAAGAAAAGTTGGGTTTCGAGCAATCTATTGTTTCATAATTGTTGAACTTACTTCCATTTCGAGTGAAAGTGTTGAGAGTGAAGAGATTCAAAGGTCGGTTTCACCGGAAGACGACGGCCGATTTCTCTTGACCAGTTGTCGATTGGCTTTTCTGGAACATTCATGTTGACGCTGTTTTCGAAACCCAACTTTTCTTCGTATAAAAGTTGACTTGTCAACCCTGCCAGGCTGGTTCGGTGCTATCCGACCTCCAAGTCGTCTCTACAACGCGCATCACTTTTACCCCCTCTGCCTCGATACTCAACTCCACCCTCTACTCTAGCTCTAGCTCTGACTTTATTTTCACCAACACCATCACCACCACTACTTCCTCTTTTC